TGATGCTGTTTTCAAGACTGTAGATGGGCTACTGCAGCCTATGTCTTGCCAATATCACACAGAGAAGGATATTAATCATCTCAAGGACACATTTATATTTATCCTGGGTCATCTGCAGTGTATACAACATTGCTAAAGGATAACCCTTCCCACTCCTTCAGTGGACTGAGTGCCTCAGACCAAAGGAGTTATGCTGTTTCCATGTCCCTAGATTGAAAGGATTCAAACTGTTTCCCCCTAGCCAAAGACTGAAAGGAGAAAGATAGTCCCTTTGCAGTGGTGGGGTGAAATACTTCATTTGAGATGGTGCTAAAAGGAAGGGAGAAGAAATTCACAGGAACAAAGCAAATAAAAATGCCATCGTAGCTGATTTTATAGCACCCCACTTGAAATTAAATTAAACAAGCTCCAAATATTACTTCTTATTTTGGGGGAGGGGGGAAAGACAGCAGCTCTGGCTGGGTTATTTTGGGAGCTATAGTTTAAACAAACAACTTTTTCCAAGTCTTAGTTAATACACCAGAGTCGAGCAGCTGAGCACAGTCCACACTCCTTTTGCTCTTTAGAGTGAAACCCACCACACATTGTGAGACTAAGATAGTTCTGCCTTAATAAAAACAAACACTCAAAAGTGAAGTAGGCGCTCACAACTTGTCTGCATCCTATGCAACTCACTGGGTCAACCTCAGCTGAGATTAAGAACAGGATTTATGCCAGGGGACATTTAGAGTAATTCAAAGAAGGATTTGTCAACCACAGGGCAGTGGTGGCAGTGGTGGCGGCGGCTCTGAAGAGGTTTTAGGAATAAGAAGGCTTGGGGAAACCACTCCAGAAACTGGGGAGAAGGTACCCTTAAGGATCCTGAAAGTGGCTGCAATAGAAGAGGGTCCAAACTGGGAATGAAAAGGAAAGAGAGACGTAGATTAGAGGTTCAGCCCTTCTCATCTCTGCCCCAAGCCCTTCAGCTCCAGGTTTCATTCAGCTGTTAAATTTATATCACATCCTTCCTCGTAGAAGTTCACGGCAGCACACACAATGGATTCATCACAGGGAGTCTTTCATCTGACAGGGAGCCAGCAGAGAAACCAGAGGCCTAGGAAGGCACAACAGTCGCCGCAGAGAAAAGTGTTCTGCAGAGGGGAACAAGAGTCACCTGCTGCAAGTAACTAGTCACTGATAAGGTGTTCTCTTTCCAGTAACTAAATGATTGTAAAGTTACATTACATTACACTACAAACCCCGAGTAGGCTCTGTCTAGAGGGGCGGGGTACAAGTAAAATAATAAATAAATAAATTATAGTTTATAATATCACTCTTGGGGAGTGGGGTTATCTTTGATTCATAGAGCTGTGGCCTCAAGTCAATGGCAAAGAAGTAATATCACTTGGCTGAATGAGGGGGTGCCATTCCCAAGGTTGCTGAGCTGTTGGCTTAATCTTCAGTAGTAGGGCAGATCCTCCTGGATGACATCACGGCTGCTTCTGAGGGGCACAGTTGCCCATCATTCTTCTTTCTCATAGGTGACAGAGAGCTTGCTTAATTGCCTTTCCTAGGTCCAATCATAATGGCATTATGTAACCATTGTCCTATCTGAACTCTGTCAACTATCTGTGAGCTTGTAAGGTTAATAAAAGCACAGTCCTCCTGGGGGCAGGGCAGAGAAGACTTCTCACTCTGCTTCGTCAGACTAATCGTCCATCAGGAGCACTGCTGGCAGACATCCCTGTGTGTGTGGCTTACTTCTTTAACTTCTATCTCTAAGAGACTATTTGCTTTCCTAATTATCTAGTGATCATCACAAAGCCCATCAGCCTTCTCATTTCGTGACTCCAACAGCTGAAGTGGAGCCTAGCGCTACACCTTGTGCTCTATTAAGACTGCTGAGAAGAAATGGAAAGAAGACTGGAAGAACACATTTGCTGTATTATAGGCCAGCAGCTTCCAATATTGAAATGTGGCTAAAAAGAACTATTTTAATTACTTTTGAGAAGCAAGATTGATTTTGTGTTCTCGATTGATTTCATTTTTAAAAACTGCATTTCTAACACAGTGGCCTACTTTTGAGGTGGGTTTATCAAAATTATAAAGAACAACTTTTTAAAAAGTAACTTGCCCAGCTCTGAGTAGAGACTGGGCACAATGGTCCTGCATAGATTGGAAGGGACAACATGGAAAGTGAATAGTGTAGCAACCCAAAATATTTAGTCAATATTTGTTGGCAACATCATAAATTCTCTTTTTTACTAAGTCGCCTTCCTGGTATGCTGGGTAAAGGAAAAAAACAAGCCACAGGCAACCAGCAGCACATCCTGACAGCAACAGAGTTCAGCAGAAAAGCCAAGCACCAACTGTGTTGCTTGCTCTGCGTGAATCATTCTTCTTCCCAGATGGCTTAGATTAAAAAAATAATAAAAAAATTAAATCAATGTACTTTCTGAATTCCTGTTTCCAGACTGAGGCATGGAGACTGTTTGGCCAACAATTATACAGTGCTAAAATAAATAAATAATAATAACTATAAGAATAAGCAAATCAACAACACATGCAAGTTACTTGAGCAATCCAAGACAGCAACATGCGGCTTCTCTGAAATTACACAGCTTACCAGGAGGGAAAAACAGAACAGGAATGAAAACTGACTTAAGGCACAACGAGAAAGGGGGAAAGGGAGAGAAGAGAGGGACAGAGAATAGGGCAAACAGGGAAGAATAGGTTCCTAGCAGCTAACATGAGTAACAGGAATAGATAAGGCTCTGTTTCTGTGAAAGAGGGAGAGAACAAACAGACAAACAAGTTCTAAACACCACAAGGAGGAAGAAAATTCCAAGTTTCGTGGAAAATGTTTATATGTGTACTGTTGAGAAAGTATTCAAATCTACATTTTAATTACTAGATTAACACCATGCCTAGATTAATGGCAAGAAATCAATTTACAGTAATTTCCTAGACTAAAATCTTTTCCTTGCTATGAATTTCCTGCACAGAGATGTATGTAAATTTGGGGCAATCTTTCTCAAACTTTCTAAATATTGGCCCCATATCTATACACATAGTGAGATCTGTGTATGTTTCGATTCAAGCACCCTACTACTACATGAGATATTAAGTGTTAAATTTGGGACCCCACAAGATGAGAAAAGGATTAGATCAGGGGTGTCCAACCTTTCACCTTCCCTGGGCCACCTGAGAAGATGAACATTTGGTTTGGGCCGCACACAAATTTGGTTTGGGCTGCATTGGGGGGGGCAGTCCTAGCCGTCCTCCACAGCCCCGCTCCAAGCTGCGATCTCAGACAGCAGAGGCTGCCAGCTTCGACTCCGGTGGCTTTATGGGGCCGGGAGGGGGTCCACCTATTGACAGGGACGGCACAATGCAGTCACACAGCCCCCTTCTCCCCTCCCCTCCCACTCCTTCCCTCTCCCCCCCCACCACCATTGTGATGTGCCCCACCCACATTCCGGCCACAAGCGCCGGCAATGTAACTTGAAACTTTGGAATTTCTTTAAAAATAAAAAATTGCACTGGGCCGCATTATGAGCCAACCTGGGCCGCAGGTTGGACAAGCCTGGATTAGATGGTATTCCTCACCTACCCATAAGAGGTACAAAGTGGGGAAGGGCATTGAAATCCATACTATTCTAGCTCTCCAAAACCACTTCCATGTAAAAGGAGCTATTAGCAGACAGTTCCTCCTAGATTTTCAGTCTGGATCAAATAGGATTTCCTGTTCTAGCCGGTAATCAACTTACTCTCATCCTCCTTCTCGTCTTTGCTGATGAGAGAGCACCTCTGCTCATTCTGTGTGTCTTATCAGGCTCCTGTCCTTCCCTGAGATTTTGCAACCCCAGCTCCATCCCAGTTTCTTTTGCCTCTCCAAGGCAGCAAGGGGAGAACTGCTAACTGAGGGGAACATTTTAAAGTAAAACATGGTGCTTTACAAGAGCTATGGACTACAACTCCCAGAATCCCCCAGTGAGCATAGCCAGTGGCAATAGCTGGCTGAGGGTTTCCGGGAGTTGTAGGCCATAAAAATAACTTTTTACCATCTCTTTGCTTCACATGCTAATGTTTCACTGAATGATCCAAAAGAAACATGGGCACAGTAATAATGGCTAAGCTGGTTGTTCTTTGGAGCAGGGGATCTGTGAGATCTCTAGATAAATGGGTGACTTCAGGAGGAATAGCAAGGTATCACAAAGTCTGGGAGAGACAGACAGGTCATCGTGAAGTTTGGTCATCTGTCTTCTTCTGTATGGCCTCACAAGTATTTACTGGTTGGGTTTTAATCATATTTATATTAAACTATATTTTTCACGAATTTCAACTTAAAAAAAAAAACATCCTCACCAAGTGTGAACACAGTCTGCCCCATTAATGATCAGGCACAAGGAGCAAATTAGTTGGAGATACGTTCTTACTTTGTCCTGTTGATTAACTTAAATTGTAATCCTTTCTACACTTCTTTATTCAGAGGTGTCCCTCATTGAGCTCCATTAGACTCACTCTTGGGAAAGTGTACACAGGCCAGCAGAAGTTATCTGCTACAATTTTGCTTGTTCAGAACACTGTATTTTAAAATGAGAACTAACACCAATAATGCCAGAACAGTTGCCTTCCCCATATTATCACAATAGGAGGACTTTATCTGGTCAAAGGAAGTGCGTTCCACTTGAGAACTTAACCGGCTGAATGAACCTCAGCTTCAGAGACTGAGACACAGACAAGAAGAAAACCTAAGTGTATGCCCAGTAGGGCTTGGACTCTTCTTTCCCCAACTCTCCCAAGTCACCACTCTAGTCAAACTCCACAGGATTGTTTTCTTTCCTTCCTTCTTTCTTTCTTTCAACAAGTGAGAAAAACAAGTGAATGAAATCAAGCATGTTATATTTCCCAGTAAAGTTAACAGGCATGTTGATCCACTTCTGATGAACAGCAACAGTGGGTACCCATAAAAGATAAGTTTGTTCATCAAAATGGCAATCAAATTAGCAGCTACTTACGATGCAAGCTGAGAGAAATGTTGATGGTCCACTCTTCCACAAAGCCCTTCAGACTGGGGATCTTGGCACATTTCAAGACTGTTTGGGAGGAACTGTCCCCAACGTGGACCCAGCAGACTGTGTCTTCCACATAGTTGAAGTCCATTGCAGTGGTCTGCTTAGTACTGGTAGGAGTGATGTTTGGGACGGATACACCATTCAGGTAAGTAGCCATGATATTCTGAGAGTTAGCAATAAGCAGGATGGGTGGTCGCTCCACTGGTTCTGAAGGAAACATAAGAACCAATGGAGAAGTAAGGCTTAGGTCTAGGATTTTCTTAAGAGACCTACACAACTTGGAACAAGCCCCATCACATGCAACTGTAAGGGAGATCTCAGAGTGACAAACATGAGAGGGTACATATTTCACGATATCTCATGTTTAAAAAGAGCTGAAAAGAACAACTTTTGCAGAAGGAAAGTTTGTTCCATGGAGGAATCTCTCTCACAACCATCTGGCACTTTTATCACAGCTACTGATTGTGTAAGTTTTCAACTTGGGATGTGAAAAAGGTGACCTTTTTCAAAGGGGTGGGTGGGTGGAGGATAAGAGAGATTTCTTAACCTCAGTTACATTTTGAACACTCCTAAGGATCCAAAGGTTTGCAAAAATTCTTAAGAACATAAGAGCAGCCCTGCTGGATCAGGCCAAGGGTTCATCTGGTCCAGCTTCCTGTATCTCACAGTGGCCCCACCAGATGCCTCTGGAAGCACATGAGACAACCAGATACCTGTGTCCTGATATCACTCCCCTGTATCGGGCATTTGGAGGTACCTTCCTTTTAAGCCTGGAGATCATACATCCCCATCATGGCTTGTAACCTGTGATGGACTTTTTCTCCAGGAATCTGTCCAATCCCCTTTTAAAGGCATCTAGGCCAGATGCCATCACCACATCCTGTAGCAAGGAGTTCCACAGACTTCTGCTTCTAACTACAGTGCCCAGATTCCTCAGGCCTGCATGGCCACTTGTTGAGTTATTTTGGGAACTGTTATTAAAAAAAAAAGCAGCTAACTTTCCCAAACTTTTGGTACCAAGCTGGTGACTTTCCTTATGAAAAAAAAAGCCCTGCATAACAGGGAGAACATCCACATTTGAGGGACTCTGACAAGACCACCTAATGGAGCTCTAGGAAATCAAAAATATTGTAGGATTTGTAGAGTGACAACTCTGATTTGCCAGCTGTCAATGCAACTTACTGGAGAGAAAAGTGGAGGGCTGGAAAGACGGAAAATCTCTTACCATTCTTAGCTTTGCAAGATTTGTGATCAGGCTGGAGCAGATAACCCTCCACACAGCTACATGTGTAAGCGCCATCATGGTTGGTACAGGTCTGGCTGCACGTCCCATAGACAGTACACTCATCAAAATCTGTTGGGGAGAGGAAGAAACGAAGGATACCAGAGCTTAGAAAGATCTCCAACCAAAATAAAAAAAGTAAACTTTACGATGCAGGAGCAATAATGATATTTCTGAAGTGCCTACTACTCTAAATAACCTTTGCCAAACTAAAGAATAACCATGAAACTAAACACTAAACTTATCATTTATTTATCTGGTATGAAATATACCCCAATAAAATGTTGCAGGAGGAGGAAAAAGAATGGGTAGAAAGACAGAGATTCAAACACGTAAGACACATGTACCCTAGATTAGCCATTCCCATTGGGTCCCATATGTCCCCCCCTGGGGGGGGGCATGGCACATTTGAAGGAGGCCACAGATTTATCTGTTCATGTTATATCCTTGTTTGCATACAGCCCAAGTCTTTCCTTGTTTGACAAGGGGACCTGGAGCCTGAGAAGAGCTCCTAAAAGGGCCATGACCAAAAAAGAAGCTGAGAATGGTTGCCCTAGAGGAATAATTGCATAAAATTGAGAAAGCATAAACTCATTTCTACCTGGAGAGCTTTTATCCAAGGTTATAGTCTACTGGCAAGCTGTCCTGTATAGGACACTCTGAAATTAACAGGCATTGTGCAAGAGCATGGTAGTATTACTGTTTGATTCCCATGAATTTCATGGTCACCACTCTGGAGGACTGGGTGCTAGGTTATGAGACTATATCTTAAGAACCAGTCTGGGGGTACCTTTTGAATTATCCCCTTTTAACTCATCCCAAGTGTATACCAATTCCACTGTCTGTCTGTTGATGAGTCAAAGGGTGGTTTGAGAATATTTGTGAGCTTCTAAAATGCAACTTCTGCAGGTACTCTTGTCCCTAAGACTTAAGATCAGGCCGCCGTGTGTGACATGGCACGTTACAGTTTGATGTCACCTTTATTCACTGAAAAAATGTTCAATTGCTCTTAAAAATAAAGAACTAAAATATAGAACTCTTAGCTGAGAACTAAGAGGACTAACTCATCACTATATGGGACTTCTCGAGATTGACATGTCTTCTGCAAAGAGTAAAAGCCCACCACCATCATTTTAATAGCTTTTAATAAGAGTTGTTTTACAATGAACTCCCACTGGCAAAAATCATGACATTGGACAGGTACAATGGGCCATGAACTCTCTCTGTCTCTGCAAAATAACACCCTATGCATTTTTTAAAAATACAGTATAAATATAACTTTTTTTGTTGGATGGTCTTGTAGTAGTCGCAATCAAAGGCCTACCAGCCTTTCACACTTTCTTTTCATCTTCAGTATAGCAGCCACCTACCTTTGCAGCTTTTCCCATCTTCAGCCAGTTGGAAAGAACTATTGCAATAGCATGTTGGGCCGTTCTGAGTTGGGACACAATGGTGCTGGCAGCCCAGATCAGAGCAGTTTTTAAAAAACGCTAAAGGCAAAAAACAGAGGGAATGGTATCAGTCAGGTACTGGAAAGGTGCTTTAGGTCAGAGTATTTCAGGCAAACCTACAAACTAGGGTAGTAATAAGATACACCGGATGACATTTCTCTGTAATCATTCATACTGTTCACAGCAGAAATCGTCACACAAAGAGCTCAAGGAGGATTTGCTCCACCATCTTATGCAAAAATGGTCTTATATTGTTTTGCTACCCATCCATGAATTAGAACTAACAATGGTTCCCCAATATGTCAAGTAGACTACATCAAGGAGCCTTTCTTCTCCAGAGCACTTTTTGTACAAGTACTTTAAATAATAATTGAGTAGGAGATTTAAAATAATATACTCTGAATGAATACATGCCAGATTGTATTCAGCAGACTTCAGCTGCATAGCTGAACTTCTAATTCAAAGATATGGCAATTACATACTGACTGACAGAGGTCCTCCTGTGCAAAATCCGGTAATATTGATCTCAGATTTTCCATTGCTTGTAAAACCAGCTCCCGTTTGTTGGTTTGTCAATTTTTAAATTAAGAGATGCAGCAGACAATTCACTTAGGCACTCCAAAGTTTTCCAAAGAAAGTACAAAGATCACCAAGGTTGCTGGTTCAGAAATCACTTATAAGCCCTTTATTATCTGCAACTGTGATCTCTCCTGTCTATAACACTTTGGAAGCTCTGGATGTATTGTGAACTCACGTGCCACAAATATGCAGCCACCCCTGAATCAGGCACACAGCTAACTGGTGAACAGCTAAAACAGTCCAGTAAAATCGTCAGTTGTCTGTAGCTGGCACAGACAAGCTACACCAGTTTCTAGGCTCTGCTTAAAATAATGTTATGGCTTCATAACTAGATTGAATATGTTATTAGCTATTGTTGTTATGGGCTGTCACAATTGCTTCCAACTAATGACAACTCTACAAATTAGTATTTTCCAAAAGGTCTTGTCAGGAACAGTCCGACTCAGGCCTTGCAAACTTATTTTGAGTCCATCATCTCATGGTTTTCTTTTCCACCTGCCTGATTACTCATTTATAATTAACAATCATCTCTTAAATGGGCCCTGACGAAGGCAAGTATTGTAACCCAGCTAGAATAATGCCATGACACTAATAGGAGTGGGATAACAATTGAATAAATAAATAAAATAAGTAAGTAAGTGACAAGAATGGTAATTATTTTTAACTGCACCATTTAGCCCTGCTGGTTTTTTTAAAAATACCTGCTAAATTATAGTTTTGGCAAAACTGCAAAACTATTTAGAGTCCAGCACACAAACATCAGAAGATAGTAGTATTTAACTGATTTTCCCAAGCTTCACAGAAGCGGTTACAGTATACAGTACATTTTTAGAAGGGCAAATAATGCCTTTGAAACAGGAAGCTTCCCACCGTATGTTATAAGAAGCTGTTTTCTTGCAGACATTACTTTCTGGACTACAGCTAGTAGCCACTAGTCCAAAATAAGGATGCATTGCTGAGCCCTCTTTAGTACCCTATAGTCCAGCATGTAGTGACTCTCCAAAGATGAAGGCAGACATTTTTCACAACAAGGGTATTCAGCCCTGTGTCCTCATTTAAAGAAGATTGCTCCTTATTTTAGGGACTGTCAGAGAATGGTTGTCAAAAAGAAAGGAAGGTCTTTGAAGGGCGGTCCTCCAAGTCTGCTTAAAAGCAAGACAGTCCATAAGGAGGAAGAGAGCAGCAGCAGAGGCCTTAAAGTTACTCATCCATACTTAGCAGCTGGACACATTCTGCTGTAGGCACACAGATCGTGGGATAAAATAGACTAAACATTTACATACACATACATGCAAATCCTATGTAAACCTATGAACCTATGTCCTCTTTTTTACTTTTCTGGAGATGCATAAGTGGCCACTCCCTTCAACAACCTTGCTATCTGATCCTCTGTAAAAATGCAGATGCCAAGGATTAACCCAGAGACCTTCTACATGGAAAACATGTGCCATGCCACGGTCTCTTCTTAAATGCATCTTCACCCGCACAGACATTCAGCCCATTTGCACTATTCTGTTATCCAAGCAGATATATTCATATCAAATGCAGAACAGCTGCCACATCAAACATTGTACAGACACTGTAAGTTGATCAGGGACTTTTGATACACTGAGACATCGTGGATCACCACCAATAAACCATTACTGTCAGATGCACCAGAGAAGCAGGCAGGACTGATATTAACTCCCTTAGCTGCACTCTGAAATATCTTTTGGCTGTAACAAATCCATCTACAATACATTTGAAATAACCTTAAAACAAGTGATTGCCCAACTGTCCGTCCGTCTGTCCGTCCCTCCCTCCCTCCCTCCATCTATCTATCTATTTCCCCCAACCTGGCAGCCAAGGCCAATGTGGGCAGTTTGCAACAACTAAGCAGTAAGAACAACAGAATCACAAAATATAACATAAATAAATTTAAAAGTGCAAATACTGTACTATTTTTTATTTATTTGATTTCTATACCACCCATCTGGCAGCCGAGGCTGGACTATGCATAAAATGCAGTTCATGACTCTTGGACCACTTTTAGTGGACTATGCATAAAATACAGTTCATGACTCTTGGACCACTTTTAGTCTTGTGGCTTTGTTCACAAGACCTCTGAAAAGAGCTTTGTAACTTTTTTTAAAGGGAAGTGTTGACTGCTATTTCCACAAACCAGTCTAAGGTACCATGTTAAATGCTGATCTTACAAAGATTCTGGTGTCTCCCTAAAGCAAAAACAATGATATTCCTCTACAGCCGAGGTGGGGAACCTCAAGACCAGAGGTTGAATCCAGCTCTCCTGGAGTTTCAAATCAGCTTAAGTCTAACATGACTCTGAAATTGGGTTGTTCATGGACCCATCCATCTGAAGAGGCTGAAATGATCTGGGGGTTTGAGCCTTTTCACTTTGACCTCACTCACCCATGAAATATGCACACTCAAAAAAAAAGAAAAAAAAGAAAGCCCTTACCTGAACTATTATTATTCAGTGCTTGGGCCGAAAGAGGTTTCCCACTCTTGCCAGTGGAAGGAGGGAGCCTTTGGAATAGTCATTGAACCCAGCCCCTGTGAGGGAGGCACCATGGGGATTCAAACTCCCAAACATCTGGCTCCACAGCCAGAGACCTAAATCACTGAACTCTCCATTTTGAGAAACAGTAACTCTCCACTTATGTTAGGAGAGCAGCTGACATTCAGGACTGGAAGACAGATTTGACTGATATCAGGAGGAGGGAAAACTCTGATCCAAGGTAATTCCTTAACATAAGCCTTGTTGGCTGTGGCCTATGGGAAATTAACTCCAAAATATCCAAAGGGTCAAAAAGTTCCTACCCCCCAACCTTACAAACATATCAGAGGGCTCCACTGTATGTCACCACAGAGCAGTAGATCCACTCCTGCAACTTGTGGTGCCTTTAGAATGGCATGGGCTCAATATCTTTTCAGAATCACATATTTTTTTAGCAGTTAAAGCTACTTCTGAAAACTGCAGAGGGGGGGAATGGTCAATTATTTGTGTTTATTTTTTAAGAGAAAGGCCAAAGAGGAACACAGAAGACTAGCCAGAATCCTATTGCAGGTTCATGCCAAGACAATCTTAATTTTCTGAATCGGGGCAGTGAACTGCCACCAATTAATGAGCTGCCACTCGCCTTTCTAGTCACATGACATCCACACGACTTGGTGTGCAAGAAGGCACAGTTATGGTTTACACTGCCCAGAATGTACAAAAGAATTCTCACCAGGGTAAAGATTCTGAGAAAATCCTCATCAAGAAATCCCCAGGCTTGACCGACACATCCTGACCCCACAGGAAAGGCCAACCATAACATTCATAAATGTGGGGAAATGGTCTGAACACACACCTACTGCCTTCTGAGGCACTTGGATGTTCAAATTGCTTCCACCATACTGACAAGTACCATGTTTCCCCAAAAATAAGACGGCTTCCACCATACTGACAAGTACCATGTCCCCCCCCCCAAAAAGGCAGGGTCTTATATACAGTCATGTCATCTTCTGGTTACTGCACAATGCTGCACAATGGTGGGGGGCGGGGTTTCACTTAACTCGGGCTTACTTTTGGGGTAGGGCTTATATTACAAGCATCCTGAAAAACCCTACTAGGGCTTATTTTCAGGTAAGGTCTTATTTTCAGGGAAACAGGGTAGCATCAGTATGCCCTTGCCCAAGGACAACTTCACATATGTATGTGTTTAATGGTCAGAAAGAATATGCAACAGTACTGAACTGAAGCCTTGAAGAGTGGGCACATGTCCATCATTTCTGGGCCAAGATTCTCCATGCGTGGGGTGGGCTTCTTTAAGGAGGTATGTACAGCTGTTAAGGGAAGGGCAACGTCCCCTCCCTAGTCCTATTTTTGTGGACCTTGGCTGGGCCATTGCCAGGAACTAGATTTCCTGTATTCCTCTCAACAGTCTTGCTTTCATTAATGCCAACCAAATTCTGTCAATTTAACAGGAGTTTCCTTTCTCTTTGGGTTTTCTATATTAAATTCCCAGAATCCATTACATAACCAGAGCCTGCAGATGTGGAGCCAGACTTCCCAAGACAGGCAGGGGGTGGGGGGGGAGAAATCCTCTATTGTGACATCGCCACAAATGAAAGACAGACTGCTAAAGCAATAAGCTGCAAGACACACAACGTAAATTCCTGAAATTGCTATAAAATTGTTATTGGATATGTTATTTTAGGATCAAGCATAAATCAGCAGGGGGGAAAAACAGGAAGTCAAAATGATTCAGAGGCATGACTGGCTTTTTAAAGCATTCTTACAATTGACTAGATACCAGGATAAATGTCTTTCTGATTATCTGGGACAAACCAATCGCACTGTTCTCAGACACACCCACATTGATTCGACTGAACCCAGAAGGCTGCGGAAAAGAAAAACGAAATGCACCCATTTGCTGGGAATACTAGCCACTCAAATAAAGCAGCAATAAGATAAG